CAGAAAAACAACACACACACACGAAGCCTAAGTTCTGGAGGGACACGCCCTTGGGTTCAAATCCTGGCTCTGTCGCTTCCTACTGTTGGCTGATGGGTGAGTTTCTTCATGTGCCTGAGCCGCAGTTTCCTTGTCCGTGAAATGGGGCAATAATCCCAGCTGCACGGGGTGACGTGAAGAGACAAATTTAAGATACGGCCCCCTAAATGCTAGCCACATACATACAGTTTTCAATGTTTAAACAACAAAATGTAAAGTCTTTTGAAACCAGGAAAGGCGATTTGGCTTCCCGTGTTGCTGGATGTATCATTTTTAGAAAGACAGAGAGAAACGAACTTTGTTCACTCAGTCTCAGAGGCGGCCGCCGGCAGCACTCAAAGGCACCCCAGCCCAGAGCCACGCCAGGGAGGAGCCCCGGGGCCAGCGCTCGGATTCACGGGCTCCCGTGCGGAAGGGGAGCTGCAGCGGTGGGCACCCGGCCTCTGAGCTGAGCCGCATCCCCACGGGCAGGACAGCGCCCCATTATGAGGCTCCTGCAGCTGTGCCTCGCTCCAGAAAAAAGCCATGATTTATTCGGCATGCCCAAATGGGGCCTCATTATACGGGGCAGGACACAAGGACCCTACAGCAAGTGTCCTCAAAGAGTCGCCTCTCACTCAGTGAGCAATCCTCCTCGGACTCCCACCCTCCGATCACAGGCCCCCTCCGCTGTCTGCGGGCGCAGGCCTGAGAGCGCGGCCTGTTGCCATGGCAGCCGGCCCCTCCCTGCCCCCCATCAGTAGGAAATCATCCCCTTCTGAAACGTCCTGTTGTGTCCCTCAGCTCCAGCCTAAGCCCCCCAGCCAGCCCCCGCCTGCTCTGAGTCTCTGAGACAGTCACACACTCAGCCTCTGTGGCCGAGCTGGGGGCGGGGGGCACGGGCTAGGGACACACTAGAATATTCACGCTCTGGTGGCAGCAGCCGCAGCCAGAGGAGCGGCCGCCACACAAGGGACCCCTCAGGAATGAAGCAGCCTTTCAGGGCCAGAGGGGCTGTGGTCTCCCTTCTTCTCCTTAAATAGCCAGTGTTCCACCCACAGCGGCACGGAGCCCTCTGCCACCGACACCCACGGGCGGAGATCACCTGCTGCCCCACAGACCCCTGCCCCTTCCTCCTGGACCAGCGGCTAGAGGTAAGGGGCAGGCCGGGTGCGGCGGGCTGGGAGCCCAGGGCTAAGCAGAGGAAATACTCAGTGGGGAACCCTGCCCAGGGAGACGGGTAGCAGCCGGTCTCGTGCCATGTCTTTGGTGATGGTCTGACCTGTGCATTGAAGGCTGACCCGTCTGAATTCACAGCAGCCCACAAAGCGGTGTTTTGTCCCGCTGATGGGGGCTTGCAGAGGGGAAGTGGCTTGCCCGCAGTCCAGGCTGCAATGGCAGCACCCCTGCCCCTAACCATGAGACAGCCTTGACCCATACAGGAGCCAGATGCCTGGGAGAGGGTTCAGGCCAGGGATGGACTGGCGCTAGTGCAAAGGCAACTGCCACCACCTGGCCATGGCTGCTGCTACCACAGGCCCTCCCTGAGGCCACGCGTGCCCACCCGCCACCTCCACAGAGGCCTGAGACCTGTCCTAGACGCTCAGCTCACCCACAGCCATGGGACCCAACACTGCCCAGGCCCCGGCCCGTTCCACGCCCCTTCCTCTTAGGAACACCCGCTCAGTGGCCATCTGAGCAGTGAGCCGTGAGGAACCAGTGAGTCTAGGCTGAAGTTCGTTTCTAAAGGGCAACGGAGAGTGAAGCGGGGCCCATCTCAGACCAAACTGCAGCAACCAGTATCAGAACTCCTCAAACGAGGGACAGAAAGGGAGGAGAAACCTCAGCAAACCTGAAACAAACCAGGAAGCGGTTTAAGATGGAGTGAGTCTCAGTCCCAGAGAGAGCGAGGTGCACGCCCTTCGGTCGGGGCAGGAAGCGGAGGGCAGTGCCCAGGCTGAGACTCCCGGGCTGGAGGCAGGAGGCACCACAGACCCACTTAGTGCCATGAGATATGCTACCCCTGCTGTCACTCAGGGCCCCAAGCCCAGTAACATTGTGCTGTCACTGTCTTGAAACTCTTCGTTTTTGAGCAAGGGGCTGCACATTCTCATTCCACACGCGGGCCCCTAAAATTAGGGAGTGGTCCCAGGGCCGGGAGGAGGTGCTGAGCCTGGGAGACAACTCCATGGCAAGCTCTGAGACTGAGTCACACTCCTGCCCTGGTCGAGGCGCCCTGGCAGTCTCCAGAGGCAAGGCAGTCCCCTGGGGGACCAGTGTTTCCCTGGTCTCACTTCCAGCTCCAGGGTCAATGTCCCCTGGTCAAGTGACCTAGGGCAAGTTAGCAGACACTCAGCCTTGATTCCCTAATCTGTAAAATGGGACTAAAACTGGTTTGAGCCAGCACAGGCAGGCCCCCACCATGCCAGGCAGAGTGGTCAGTCGTACCCATGAGCTGTTCTCTCCTGGGGCCAGGTGATGCCTGCACAGTGGGGCACAGTACAGGCCCGAGGGACAGTCTAGGGTGGAGGGCACCCACCTTGGCCCCTTCCCACCCCCAGGTTCTAACAAGGGCCCCTCACTCACTGAGCCCCCTCTCCTCTTCCAGTCTCCAGGGCCTCCCCGCACACACCTTGCTCCTCTCCTGCCAACCTGAAAACAGCACACCTGTGTGCCCCTCCCATCTACCATGGGCTGTCCTCTCTGCCTGCCCATGCACCTGCCCTGGAGCCCTGTTCCTCCAGTCTCTGGGTCCTCACCCCCAGCACGTGCAACACGACACCCTCAAAGTCACAGCCCCCCCGCCCCCGCCATCCCACCGGCACCTGCTCCCTGTCCTCCCCTGCCTCACAGGCCCTGTCAAGGGCTGTGTCCCTCCCTCCTTTTACCTCTCCTCCACAGCCCCCTTCAGAGCCCTCAGCCCTTCCCCAGGGCTCCAGCCAAGCCTGTCTCCCTCTCCCGAGGATCACTCACCCCGCCTTCGGCCCTCAGCTCTCCGCCCGCACCGCACTGTGGTTTTAGCAGTTCTAGGGAAAGTGCCAGCCGAGACCATCCAGCCCAGGTCAGAGGACTTGTGGAACCTGGATTCCTGGGGAATGGGGTCCCTGTGAGGAACTCCACATGGGACTAAGAACAGACCCTGCTCCTGGAAGTGGCAGGAAACCATCTCTGGTGTTAGAACTTCAGGCATCTTCAAACACTCTGAAGCTGGGGCAATCTTTTCAGGTAGGGGAACCTGCCTAGAGAAATAGCTAAAAGGCAATATTATTAGGCAGTTGCCCTCCCCTTTGCTTGAGGACATTGATGGCCAGGTGCTTGGGCCAGCCCTCACCCTCCACGTGAGGGCCACAGCAGCTGGCCGCTCGCTCTCCTGAGGAAGGGTACGGCCTGCCCTTCCCTAGGGCTAGGGCCACCACCGTGCCTGCTTCTCCTCTATGTGAGGATGGCTCCAGCCTCCTCCTCGAGCGGCTGCTGTGCCCGTGAACAGTCACCATGCCCTCTCTGCCCCATGCCACCAGCATCCTGAGACAGCCCTATGGAGTCAGTAAGAGGAGAGGGGCTGGGCGCAGCGACTCATGCCTGTAATCTGAACACTTTGGGAGGCCAAGGAGGGAGGATCACTGGAGCCCAGGAGTTCGAGACCAGCCTGGGCAACATGGCAAAACCCCATCTCTACCAAAAAATACAAAAATTAGCCGGGCGTGGTGGTGTGTGCCTGTAGTTCCAGCTACTCAGGAGGCTGAGGTGGGAGGATCACTGGAGCCCTGGAGGTTGAGGCTGCAGTGAGTTGACTGCACCACTGCACTCCAGCCTGGGTGACAGAGCGAGACCCTGAAAAA